TTGCCCTTGAACTTTGGGTCGATGCGACCACTTTGTGCACCATGACCACAGCGGCTTCTGCCTTGCCTGCCGCTCGCTCCGCTGCATCAGCAGCTTGCTTTGCCCATGGCCTCGCAACCGCCTCTCCCCGATGTGGATTGCCGCCAACGGCCATGTGTCCAAGCCCAAGCCCGTGGAAGCGACCAAGGTGCGAACATGTTTCTTTGCCACACCAAGTTCCCCCTCCACTCTCCCTACGAGTCGCCTGTTGTGAGCGTGGTCACCATGCCACGATCCAAGGTCCATCGACGAACCGGGGCAGAGATCAGCTCCTGAGCACGGTCACAATGTACCCGATATAGAGGAAGCCCCAGGCTTCTCAAGCGAGCATAGATACGAGCCAAAGCCGGCAAGATGTGACTGACCGCTCGGCCATGAAGCACCTCCACAAATGTCAGGTTGCGGACCGTCACATCCGTTGAATCCTCCACCAACTTGTGCCAGGTCTCGCACGATGCTTTGCATGTGCGCACCGCCGTGTCCTCCCCCCCAATCTCCGCCTCCACCACTGGCTCTTCAACCAACAGCTCAGCTCCAGGATCCTCAGCGCTCAAATCCGGCTGCGGGTACTGCAGATCATCAAACGGTGACAGTTCATGCTCAACATGACCTTCAAGAGGTGGTCCTTGATCAAGTTCAGCAAGTGGTCGACCTGCTCCATCCACTGGAAAAGTGTACACTGTAGCGAGATGGATGTCGAGCCTGGTCCTGGCCTGGAGCCATCTTGCCAGAGAGGTACACGCTCAAAGTGTATGCCTCCGGGTGATTGACTCGTCGATGGGGTTTGCTGCGAGCCGAAGACCGAACACAATGTTTGCAGTCTCTTCGTGCTGGCATGTGGTCATTCATGTAGTGTTGCTGCCACCCTTCTAAGGCCGCGCGACCAAGAGGGCGAAGTGCAGCTTCCAACGATGGCGTTGTGTGTCGATGCAGGGAATCCTTCAATGCCAACACAAGCGCAACTTTCAACCCCGGGGCCCAAGCCGCCCACTGCTTCGACTCATCACAGCGCTCCTGCACAGTCAATAGTTCCGCGGTCAACAGCACCTCCATCCAAGCTCGAGCCACTTGGAGGTCCTCGAAGCTCGTTAAGGACGGCGATGTCCCGGAGAACCACTGCCAGCGTTGTGGGTTTCTTCTTCACGTGACCCATCGGCCCTTGATCGAAGTGGATTTTCTTCACCTGATAGATCTCTTCGAACAGCTGCCACTCCTCTGTTCGCCAAACCGACATAAACTTCTTTTCTTTCACCTCCTCCGGAGACCTGTATCGAGCTGGATCCTCTGGTTGTTCCACCGCCAGGGCCGTCTGAGGTTCCTGAGGAAGTCGGACATCTTCACAAAGTACATACAAAGCCAGCGTCCGAAAAAACAGCACGCCCGGCCCCCCATCATTCTGGCACCGAAGTGCTGACACTGTTCTGCAGGGTGGTCCACCCAAGATGGCCTTGACTCGGCCTGATGCTGCCAATGAGAGCAGGTACAGGTAGATCTGGTCATCATGAAGGTCCGCTGAAACTGGGGCCTGCAGGTCAACGCACAAAACCTCAACATCCTCATGGCATAGAGCCTCCCAGTACCCGCTGTCCGGACCTGAGAACAAGTGAATGACGATCTTCTTGGCCCGTTCCACCCTCCGACGCCTGCGCCTGTTCCAGGGCAATTGATGTCCATCGAAGGCCTGGCCCCTCTGAAGCTGAGACACACGATGCGCATGAGGATTTCATCCGGTAGCGCTGGAACATGGACTTCAGCTTGACTGTCAAAGCCAGCTCCATTGAATCCGGAAGGCATGCCAGCTCCTCCCCCAGGGGCTGCTCCATCACGGCAGGTTGACCTGTCGCAGTTCCAGTTCTCGATCATCTCCTTGCCCAGGCTTCTCGACACCATAGGGCATCCATGCTGGACCACCACCTCCAAGTTTCGACCCGGATCATCCCGAGTCCACACTGCGCGCCCTTCCACTCAAACTTGTAACCGAGCTCCGCCACGCCACCCAATGGCACGATCCAGGACTGTCCAAACCCACCATCGTCAGGCGCTGCGAGCAAGACCTTAGTGCCAACTTCCAGCCGGAGCTTCGTGGTCACGCCATCCGCCAGTGTCACCTGCGTCGGCGTTGCTTGTTCCCATTCATCTTGATCACGAGCTGGTCGTAGTGCAGGAGTTGCACCTGAGTCCAACAAAACCAACTGACCACTTGGGTCATGCTCCAACTGGCTGACCTTGATCACCTTGAGCTGTGGCGCCCGCAACGATTTCAACAACTTGGTAGCCTCTTGAAGAAGTGCTTCACTGGTAGTTGAGGTTGATCCCGTCTCACCACCACCTTTGGCCTCCACCGCGTTGCCCTCCATCCCCTGGCCAGCATACGATGTTTCGGGGCTCACCTCCAACTCTTTGACAGCTGGGGTAGTGGAAGATGTCGATGGCTTTTGTGGCAGCTGGGGCACTTTGCCACTGGATGAACTCCCACCACCTGCACCTTTTCCTCCCCCTGAGCCGCCAGCCGGCTCACCCTGGCCTTTGCCATCTTTTGCAGAAAACTTGGTCTGAGAGCGCAGCTTGCATTCCTTTTTACGATGATCTTTGCCACCACAAATCCAGCACTGCTGCGCCTTGTCGTCCATGCCATCCCAAGAGTGGGACCATTTGCAATTCTTGCCAGCTTTGCAACCGGAGTCCGATGCAAGGAGCCGCCACCGCATTGCCCTTGCCCTTGTCCTTCTCGCCGCCCGCTGAACTCCCCCCAGGTGATGGTTTTCCCTGGGCATCAAGCTGCTTCACACGCACATGGGGTCGAGGAGGTAGTAGGCACCGAGGACATCAAAACCAGAGTCTCGACCTCCGCCAATAGACACTGGCTAAACCGCCACACTTGGCCGTGAATTGGGCGCTGATCAACACCAAGTTGCAATCGACTTTGAGCGAGTCGAAATGCCGCCGCCTGTGCGTCCAAGCCGGAAATCTGGATGACCGCCGGCTCCAAGGCCTTGAGCAACAGGGTTCCATCAGGCAAGATTGCTCCAATCTCCTGGGCCCGTGCGAAGTGTCTCCTCCATGACCGGAGGGCTGCCGCAAGCTCAGGAACTCCAGCTGACTTGTCCAGGACCGTCAGCTTGGCCAACAAAATCGCTTTCTCCCCCCGCGCCACCAGGTTGGTAGCGAGCCAAGAGTCTGTAGAGCAAGGCCGTGGATGTCAGCTCGCGGTCGGTGATCAGCGCCTGCTGCTGGTCAAGCGGGATCGCCTTGAGCAACAAGTTCACACCACGTTGCTCCGTGCGTTGATAGCACGTGTCCATCAGCTCGTCAGGCAACCTTGGCGTGATCTGGACACGCTCGAGCGGTGAGGATGTCTTCCACCTCTCATAGAAGCATTGTGCTCCCGCAAAGTCAGGTTCCACCACCTGGCTGAGACACTAGAGAGGTCTCTCAACACTGGCCCACAGACAGCCAGCCAGTCGCCAAGTTCCAGCGGTGATGCATCTGCCGCTAGGGTGGCCAGTTCGGCCTTGCTGTTTCCACCACATCCGTCACCCCACGGAAGCGGCATTGAACCTCCAGGCACTCCGCCATCGCGCCAGCGCCCATAGCCAGCCTCACCACCACTTTCCAAACCATATCTGTCCTTGTCGAAGTGCATGCCATAGCCACCCCGAGCGCCAGGACGGTCTTCATCACGATGACCTTCTGCGGCCGATTGAAGCCCAGTGCCAACCCCCCGTTCTTGACTACATGAAAATTCACGAAAATCATGACCCTGAAGCCCAACTTGATGTCCAGGGTGTAGTTGTGGCGCCATCGAAGGCGCTGGAGGAGGAGGCACATCCTTTGAACACGAGGATCTTGGTGTTGGCCAGCGCTCATGCGCCCCACAGAAGCCTTCAAAGCTTCGAGTTCCATCTCCAGGCGATCAGCCCGATCATCACGCGGCCACATGACCTTCCCTTCTCTCAAGCGCACCGGAAGCCACTGAGGATCCCCACGGCCACGTCGTCGTGCCTCCATGGTGTCATAGTCCCCCAGGAAGCTAAGTTCTGCCGAGTTGCTTGTGGTCATAGGGAACGGAGGGAGCGGCGGCTCCTGAAGAGAGGAGGTGAACCAGGTGGTACCTGAATCGAAGCCCCTTGGCTAGGACCTTCCTTTCGTGTCGTTGGGCTCCGTTTTCGCGGTGTTTGTGGTATCACACCACCCCCACCGCCTTGCTTGCCACCACGACGATCGCCGTCATCTTGGCGCCGTTGTAGATCATGTAGATGATCTTCTCCATCACAGGTCACCATTTCCGCTTCCAACGCTCGTTGAAGTCCATCGGGCTCCACCCTTTCACTTGGACCCTGACCAGGAGGCATAGGACCGCTGGTGCGGGGAGCTTGCTTGGGAGGTCGGTCGCTATCGGGGTCCTTTGGCAGATCACCCTCCGTTCTCTTGCCAGCTGTGGCTCCACGACCTTCGGATCTTCGGCTACAGGGTGTGACGAACAACCTGCCACCAAGGGTAGATCCACCTCTGCCCTTCCCCACTCCGCCCACGCGCTCATCTGGCGCATCCAAGTCGCCGTCCTCGTGAGGGACCGCCGGCAAGGTCTCTGGTCGGGCGTTCTGCAAGGCGAACTCCCTTTTCATCTTGTCGGACCACCATGGGTTCGGCGGAACCGACTGGGACCGGCTGCCATCGGCCATGGCCAGCCTAAAAATCCGGGTTTCTTGGGCTCATAACCCTCGAAACAGTACGCTCCTTTTATTGAGCACAAATGCCTTTCACGTATGGTAGTCTCACCAATGCGACAGACCAGGAAAACCATGAAACACTTAAATAAATCGGCCAGATGTACTCCACCCGAAACCGTTGAGGAATATACTGACTTCCACCCCGCTCCTTCTCAAACATCACACTTGACGCGCTCTTCCTCTCATGCTGTGCAGACCTGTGCAGGGTGCTGCCCACAGGTTGGGCGGCGCCTGCGCTGGCAAGTTCTTGCACCCAGAGATAGCGGAGGTGTAGCCTCACAGCAGAAATGGGCGGGAAGGTTCTAGTGTTTTTTCGGCTGTTTCGTTCAGCATGAAGCAAAGGAGGGCACTTGAGGGAAGACTAGAATCTGGGAATGTGGTGAGCCCAGTATTAGGTCACCGTCTCTTTGAACCTGTGGCTGGAACTCCCAAGGCTGTCTGTGAATTTGAGCCAGGTCTTTTAACTCTTAATGCATAAACTGGTTCTGGATTTGGGTTAATTGGCCACACCTTGCCAAAACCAGCTAAAACCGGTCTCAAAACAAGTTTCCATTGCCTTTCAAGTCCTGGAGCGAAAGGGATGCCAAAACAGTCGCCAGCTTGCTTGCTGGGAAGCAACCCGTGAGCAAGTTCGGCGTACATCGTGCGGAGTTCTGGGTCTTCCGGCTGTATTCGTCCGGTTGGTGCCGGGATGATGCCATCACCTCTCGACTATTTTTCGGCCGGCTTTCCCTGGCCGAACAGAGTGTGCCCCAGGTGGTTGTTCCAGTTCCAATTCCAGATCCAGTTCCACGTCCAGATCTATGGTGAGTGGTGTGGGAGGGGGGAGTCAGTTCCAGTGCCAATGGTTTTTGAAACGTAGTGGCGATTTCACATCTTATGATAAACACAATGCATATTTCTTTGGTGGGGGGCACAGTTCTAGTTCCTGATCTATTTCCACTTCTAGTTCAAAACTTTTGTTTTGAGTGGGGGGTGGGGGGGTCCAGTTCCAGATCCAGTTCTAGTTCCAAACGTAGTGACGATTTCAAATTCCGGGAGAAGTTCCAGTTCCAAATCGGATTCCACATCCAGTTCAGTTCTGTGAAAAAGATCAGTTTTTGGATGGGGTGAGGGGGGAGTTCCAGTTCCAGATCCAGTGCTTGTTCCAAACGCAGTGAAATTCCTATGACAAAGATTTTTGAGGGGGGTGAGTTCCAGTTCCAGATCCAGTTCCAATTCCAAACGTGGAGACGATTTCAAATTCCTTTGATTTGTTGTTGTTTTGGTGGGGGGTGAGGGTTTCAGTTCCAATTCCAGTTCTAGACCTAAACGTAATGACGATTTCAATTTCCAATGATACTTTTTTGGTGGGGGGGAGTTCCAGTTCCAGGCCCTCCAACGTAGCGGATCCAGTCCCAAACGTAGTGGCGATTTCAAATTCCTATGATAAAGATTTGTCTTGGTGGGGGGGCGTTCCAGTTCCAGTTCTAGTGGGGGACACTATGTGGCCGAAGCAACGTGCGAACCCACGGGTCCTTGTAGCGTTCAGTAGCTAGCAAAGGAAGCATTTGCAAAAATTATCCCGGCAAGAGACCCCAAACAGTGTGTGTGAGGTCTATAAGCAGACAGTCTAGAGATCTAGACGCCTTGGGGTCCAGAGAGGTGATGGTGGTGATGAAGGTGGGGACCATGGTGACGGTGGTGGTGGTGAGTGAGTGGAGTGGAGTGGAGTGGACTCCCACTCTCACTCACACTCACTCTCACTTTCACCTACACTCACCCACCCTTACTCTCACGCACACTCACTCTCACTCACCGACACTCGCTCTCACTCACACTCACTCTCACTCAGACTCACACTCACTATCACTTACTCACGTCCACACTCACTCTCACTCCCTCCCTCCCTCCCTCGCTCCCTCGCTCACTCACTCTCACTCATGAACCTCGAAGTGTAGATTTCGTGACGGGTCCAGCACTTGGTAAACCTCGAAGTGCAGATTTCGTGGCAGGCACAGCACTCTGTGACCCTCGATGTGCAGATTGGTGCAGGCAGACCACTTGGTGAACCTCGAAGTGTAGATTTCGTGGCAGGTGCACAGCCCTTGGTGCAGATTTCATGGCAGGCAAAGCACTTTGTGAACCTCGAAGTGCGGTGCAGATTTCGTTGCAGGCACAGCACGTGAACCTCGAAGTGCGGTGCAGATTTCGTGGCAGGCGCAGGGCTTGGTGAACCTCGAAATGCAGAGTTCGTGGCAGGCGCAGCACTTGGTGAACCTCGAAGCAACACTTTGTGCTCTTAGATGCTCACTCTCTCACTCTCACTCTCACTCCCAGATGAAATGCACATTGACGATGTCGAGAAGCATGAATGCGCTGTAAATAGCAACGAATTAGCCGGACACGGCCGCGCGGCACACCTATCTAAGCACACTTGCTTTTCCAGTTCCGTAAGAACCCCTAGTGTGTGACTGTTTGGGGAAAAAGGTATATTTCACCATCCAGTGATCCGTTCCCTTCCACATCCATCCTAGATCCATTGTCCAATCTCAGGGCCGGGCACACACCTTTCCTATCAACACCACCCGTTTTGGAGCCTGTCACATCCCAAGGCAATCCCACACCACCGCAGGGTGAAACCATGTGAAGCCACCTGCCATGGAATGCCACGTGTTACACCTCTCTGTCTGCGTAATGGCCGAAAAAGGCGGCCACCTCCCTCTG